TTCTAAGAGCAGAACTGGCTCAAAAGTGCATAGTCTATCAATTATTACTGAATTAATTCAAATTTGATCTATAAAAGTAAACAAGATATATCAAATTTATAAGGTCATCAAGTCTTTTCAACTCTTCTTCAACAGTGAAAGTACTTCCAAATAAATGACCAGGAAGCAAAAAAGCTGGCCACGGCACTTATTTATAAAATATTATCCATGTCAATAAAAAAAGGGACTCTGGTTTTACGGAACCAGTTGAACAGAAAAAAGGAAATAATCTGAACTTCAAAAGAAAATATCTGTAAGAAAATCTTCCTAAGAAATAAATTTCAAGTTGGGTTAAGAGTAAAAATAAATGTTATTTGAAAAGTATTAGCAGTGATTTACAAATCAGAAATAGGTGTATATGGGTTTATGCCAGGAATCCTAGCACTCAAATTTTCAGGCAGTCTGAACCATACACTGAGTTCCAAGACAGTGTCAGCTACAGAGGTGAGACCATCTCAAAAAACAAAAAAGGAAAAGAACAGAGGAAGGAAGGTCTGGAGGGGGAAAGGAAAGAGAGGGAGGGAGAGAAAGAGGGAGGGAGGAAGGCAAAGAGAACCTTAGATACATACGAAGTTCAAGGCAAGCCTGGGATACATGAGACCCTAATCTCAGAAAACCTAAAAAAAAATTAAATTCATACTGTGGTCTAAACTAGTAAGATTTTAAAAGTTATGAAAATACTGAAATAAAGAAGTAATAAATGATAGGATGAATGCTAAAATAAAAAAGCAAGATAACTAATTCAAGCTCTGAGTTAATGATATATTATGAATTAAACTAAAATGTAGCTGTGGCACATGCCTTTAATCCCAGTACTCGGTAGGCAGAAGCAAGTGAATCTCTGTGAGTTCGAGGCCAGCCTGGTCTATAGAGTGAGCGACAGGACAGAAAACAAAACAAACAAACAAACAAACAAAAACCACCATAAAATACAGATCTCAAACAAGTATTCAACAGTGACAGGAATACTTAGCAGACAGGACTTCTTTACATATCTACTCTAATACTGATTATCATTAATGGGTTTAGGACAAATATCAGTAACAGATAAAAGAGTCATGGTATTTTGACTCATAACTCACTTAGGACCAGGAAGAAAACAGAACTGAAGAATAAGAAACACACTCGGAGCTCAAAGCATCCAGAGTTTCAGTAAGATATCTCACGTATGTCAACAGCTGGTAACCCTAAGTAATAAGAAAAATTATATTATGCTCAGTGTACAGTGCTAAAAGAAGCAAAAATATACAAAAATCACATGGAAAAAATCATTGCAAAATTATTGTGGTCAAAATATATTAAATGGCTGTTCTAAATTTTTTGAGTAGTGGTTATGATTTGAACTAGGTCCTCCCACTCAAAAGATCTAGTGCAGTCCTAACCTTAGAACTGCAGGATCTGACCTGACTTGGAAATACACTTGTTGCAGATGTACAGTAATTAGCTAAGATGACTTCATCCTAGAAGTGAATCCTTAATTCTAAATGAATAGTGTCTGTGTAATAGAAGACACACAGAGAGAACATCTTATGAAAATGGAGATAGAAAATGAAATGGTAACATCTGCAAGCCAAGAAATGCCAGACACCCAGCCCTCACAGACAGCGTGTTCCTGGGAGCTCTCAAAGGAACAGCCAGGCTGATGCCTAGCTCAGATTGTACCCTCACCATCAAAGTACACCCCCAGCACTCTGACACCTAGCTCAGGATGTACCCCCACCATCGAACTACACCCCCAGCACTCTGACACCTAGCTCAGGATGTACCCTCACCATCAAACTACAGCTCCAGCACTCTACACCTAGCTCAGGTTGTACCCTCATCATCAAACTACAGCCCCGGCACTCTACACCTAGCTCAGGTTGTACCCTCATCATCAAACTACAGCCCCGGCACTCTACACCTAGCTCAGGTTATACCCTCATCATCAAACTACAGCCCCAGCACTCTGACACCTAGCTCAGGATGTACCCTCATCATCAAACTACAGCCCCAGCACTCTGACACTGACTTCAGACTTCTAACCTTCAGAATGTTGACATAACATGGCTTTAAACTTACCCATTCAGTAATACTTTATTAAACAGCAACAGGAAACTGATACAACATGTAATACAGCAACTCCTTGGTTTCCATTCAACCCCTGTAAAAACTGATGCCCACAGGATAGCCTGAACAGAGGTGGCTCTTGTACCCACTACACCCATGCTATGAGCTACATGCATAATTATAAAGCCCTAGAAGAACCAACATGTTGCTTCACTGGGGTGAACAGAAAAAAAAAAAATTGTGGTGGACTGGCGAGATATATCAGTAGTTAAGAATGAGCAGTGCTTTTCCAGGTGACTTGAAGTCAGTTTGCTGGTGGCTCACGACTTCCTGTAACTCCAGCTCCAGGGGATTTGACACCCTCTTCCGGACTCCACAAGCATAGCCATAACACACACACACTCACACATTTAAAAATTAAAATGAAGTGTTTTTTAAAAAAGAAAAAAAATTGTGGTATATCCACATTATAGAATAAGAGTACTCAATGACAAAAAAGAAAGGAAGGAAGGAAGGAAGGAAGGAAGAAAGAAAGAAAGAAAGAAAGAAAGAAAGAAAGAAAGAAAGAAAGAAAGAAAGAAAAAGAAAGAAAGGAAGGAAGGAAGAAAGAAAGAAAGAAAATGCTAATCTAGAAACGTGGGGAAAAGCTGAATACAGTGGTGCACGCCTTTAATCCTAACACTCTGGAGGCAGAGGAAGGATCTCTGAGTTCAAGACCAGCTTGGTCTACATACCAAGCTCCAGGCCAGTCAAAGTTACATGGTGAGTCCCTGTTTCAAAAAAACAAAACAAAGCAAACAAAAAGATATGGAGGAATCTTATGATGGTTCATACTGCTCACCAGCTTGAAAGGGTGAAGAGCAAATGAAGAAACTGACCTCTGAGCATGTGAGAGACTTTCTAGATTAGGTTAATTGAAGTGGTAAGATCTGCTCTGAATATGGGCAGACACTGCCTGTAATCCCAGCATTCTGGGGGCAGAGAAGGAATCCCCAGGGCAGGCTGACCAGTTGATGTAGGTGAATCTGTGAGCTCCAGTTTAGCAAGAAACCCTGTATCAGCATATAAAGGGGCAAGCAATCTAGGAATATACCTGATGTCAACCGCTGCCTCTATGTACGTACATGTATATATGCACATGCGCCACACACATGTTAATTATGCATATATGTATTTCTGCATATCACACACATGTATGCACATGAAACACTAAGAAAAATATTCATTTTCAAAAAGCTACAGAAAAGAAAGGAGTAATTATGATGTATTAAAATGGAGGTATTCTTTTTTTTTAAGTATTGTGGAATTATTAAATGGTTCTTAAAATTCATTATACTAGGGCTGGGGATATTGGTGAGTAGTAGAGCACTGGCCTAGCATACACAAGTACCCAAGTTCAATAACCAGAACACACACACCCACACTCCCATACATACACACACACACACACACACACACACACACACACACACACACACACACACAGAGAGAGAGAGAGAGAGAGAGAGAGAGAGAGAGAGAGAGAGAGAGAGAGAGAAAGAAAGAAAACAAATAATCTCATTAAATAGTTATGGTTTGGGGGGCTGGAGAAATGGCTCAGTGGTACAGAGCACTGACTGCTCTTCCAGCACTATGTGGCAGTTCATAACTGTCTGTAATTCCAGTCCGAGGGGACCTAATGCCAACTTCTGGCCTCCACAGGCACCAGGCACAAATTTGGTGCAGACAAACATTCGTATAAAAATAAAAAAATAATAAAAAATTTCAGAAAGGTTTGAAAGAAGACAAAACAGCATGAGAAGTGCTGTGAAGCTAAATAAGAAAGAACAAACAGCCGGGCGGTGGTGGCGCACGCCTTTAATCCCAGCACTCGGGAGGCAGAGCCAGGCGGATCTCTGTGAGTTCGAGGCCAGCCTAGTCTACAGAGCGAGATCCAGGAAAGGCGCAAAGCTACACAGAGAAACCCTGTCTCGAAAAACCAAAAAAAAAAAAAAAAAGAAAGAACAAACAACCCAGGCCAGGAAAAGACCTCCAGGTTAGGAGTTCATAATGAATTCTGAGGGCAGTGGAGACTGGAAAAGTGAATGGGTAGTTAAGGAACTGACCAAATGTCTGTCTTACTCCACAAGAACTTTTGTATAATATGTGTGCATGTGTGCGTCCGTGCGTGCATGTGCGTGTGCGTGTGTGTGTGTGTGTGTGTGTGTGTGTGCATCTGTGTGTGTGTGCGTTCAAATCTCTATACCATCAAAGTGAAGGCTAATCTGGCAGTGTGAGTGAGAAGGTCCTCCCACAGGCTCATATATGTGAACAACTGATGGGCAGTGCTGTTTGTAAAGTGCTGTTGCTAGAGGAAGTACACAACTAGGGCCAGCTTCCGGTTTTACAACCTGGCCTCACTTCCTGTTATCTGTTTCCTGTGTGCAGATGAAATGTAATCAAGCAACCAGCTTTCTGCTTCTACTACAGCTCCGTTACCTGTTACTATGTCTTTGCTGGGCCTGATGGACTCCACCCCTTTGAAAGTGTAAGTCTAAATAAACCCTCTGTCCTCTAAGTTACCTTTGGTCACGATACTTTCTCACAGCACTGGAAAAGTTACTAATGCAGCCAAGGTACAAAAGCATCCTGTGGCTGTGGACTCTTCCAAGGACTTCCTTGTGAAGACTTAGCATAGTGTTAACTTTGTACTTTATGTGGACAAAACTGTTTTAAAGTTTATACACACACACAATTATATGCACTGTACACAGAAGTATTTAAGAGGAAATCACCATTATACAAGTAAATTCATTTCTGTTTGTGTCTCTCTCACTACACAGATAGATAGATGCATGAGAAAACAGAGGCAGATTGTCAATACAGAAAACAGAAGATAGTAGACACCAGAGAAAAGACTCTAAGGTACTTACTTCATCAGCCACCATACACCTGGAAAAAAGAAAAACCAAATAAATTAATTTCTTAATCATCAAAGTGAAGACTATTCAGAGTGCTGATTAAGTAACTCATCAGAGAACACTTTACAGATGCTGAAGGATTAAGCAAGACAGGTGTCTGTAAGGGCATGAGAGCACTGGACAGTGATGATTTCAACTCCACAGCTGCCAGTGACATGGAGGGCCAGTGCTTCAGGTAAGTTGTTGGCACTGCCCACCATGGAGGAGCTACAAAGACTCCTGAGGATCAAGCAAAACAGAAGAGATCGTGAAGCATGCCTTCTGCCTCCATCCTTAAACTGTAAGCCTGGCTGTTCCTATAGTCGAGAATGCTGGATTGAAGAACAGTGTGATGGGACACGCCGTTAATTCCAGCACTCTGTAGGCAAAGGAAGTGAACCTCTGAGTTCAAGGCCAGCCTAGGCTACATAGTGAGCTCCAGGGCAGGCAGAGTTACCTAGGGACACACCCTGTCTCAATTAATTAATGAAACAAGAAAATGGAGGACTTCATGTTATTTCTGTTTCTGTAATGAAGCACCCTGACAACTCCAGTACAGTCTATCACAGAACAGAAGTCAAGGAGACAAGAACCCAAAGCAGCTGCATCCACAGGCAAGAGCAGAAAGCAATTAACACATATCTGCTTCCTACTCATCCAGCTTCCTCCACACAGTCCTTCCTCACACAGTGCAGGACCCCAGACTAGGAAACAGTGCTGCCTGCTTTCAGGCTGGGTCCTCTCACCAACGAAGCAAATACAACAAAAGGCCACAGTCAGGCCCACAGGCCAACCTGATGTAGACTCACAGAGACTCTTTCCAGGTGATTCTAGATGTATCTAGTTGACAAAACTAACCATTACACTGACCAGCAACCACATTTGGGCACACATCTGATATCTAATTTTATGTGACACATCTAGGTAGGTGTGTCTATCGCTGAGGTGAACTTGATTTCTATTATTTTGCTAACTTTTCTCTACTTTATTCTTGTGGAGAGTAGGAGAGTGAGGGTGTGTGTGTGTGTGTGTGTGTGTGTGTGTGTGTTTTCTATGTGTCCCCAGGCCTACAGAGGCCAGAATGAAGGGCCTCTCTACCCTCCTATTTTGAAATAGTGTCTCTCACTGACCTGGGTAGTCCAGCTGGCTACTGAGCTCCAGGGCTAGGATTGCAGACATACACCACCTCGTCTGGGTTTTTAGACGAGTGCGGGGATCTGAACTCAGGTCCCGAAGCTTGTGCAGCAGGTACTCCCCCAACAGAGGCGTCGCCCAGCCCCTATCTGCTGGACTCTCTTTTTTCTTCATTTGGTTTTATGAGATGGAGTTTCTCTGCGTAACCATCCTGGCTGTCCTGGAACTCACTCTGCAGACCAGGCTGGCCTCTAACTCCACTGAGATCCGCCTGCCTCTGCCTCCCAAGTGCTGGGATTAAAGGCGTGCACCAGCGCCGCCCGGCTGCTGTATTCTCTTTAAACAATTGATTTCTAGAGGTAAATCTGATCCACTGAGAAGTTAGGCTGGGCTCATAAATTGAGTTTCTAAGTAGAAGAAATAGAGAGAGAACATATTAAGCCTGGTCAGGATAATCAGTGGCTGGTTTCGGACGGCAAACACATCATGAGAACAAAAATAATCTCAACTAAGGAAAAATTAAAATTCAAATAATTTAGTAAAAATCGGTTTATTACACTCTTTAGAGAAAGTAGAAAATTAAGAAGTAACATGGTATTTTTCCAGACGGACTCATGAATATTGACTTTTTCATTTGAAAATCCAAGCCAAAGCCTGGGGACATGCTCGCCATGTAGGTGTGAGGATCTGAGTCCAGGCTCTAAACACACACAAACCTGGGCATGGCTCACTTGCAACCCCATGGAAATTGTAGAGACAGATGGATGTTTGGGGCTCACCGGCCCACCAGGCTAACGAAAATGGTGAGCTCTGGGTTCAGGAAGAGACCCTGTCTCAAAAACTGAGGTAGCGAGCCACAAAGGAAGAAAGACAGCAGATGTCAGTCTCTACAGGTGCACACTCAGGTAAGTGCACTTGTCTCAAATAAGAAAATAAATCCCACTGAAATTAGCTGGAGAGGTCTCTTGAGGAGTATAGTATTTACTCAGAGTCTATTGTGTAACTATCACTGTGCTGGGGAGACAGTGAGCTTGAGCCTTTCCCTTATGTACAGTGTCTAGAAGAAAAAAATACATGATTTGGTGGCGGTAAATCAGTAAATCCTCTTTAAAAACCAAAACAAGTAAGGAATGATAGAGAACAGGGAGTGAAGGGAGGGAAGAAGTCACGAAGGAGTCCAAGGGAGGAGCATTTCAACAGGGGCCAGCAAGTGCAAAGGCCCTGTGCAGGTAAGGAAGACGGAGGAAGCTGATGTGGCTGGTGCACAGGGGGCAAGAGAGTGGGGGAGGTCAGAAGGCAGCCGGGGGTCCAGTCACAGAGGGTCTCACAAGTGATGGCGTGAAGACCGGACAGTCTTATAATCCTCTGAAGGGAAGCAATGTGTTATTATTATTTTTTTAAATGACCCCAGGGGCTGCAGAGATGCTCAGTTGTTAAGAGCACTGGCTGCTCTTGCAAAGACTGTGGTTCAGTTCCTAGCACCTACATGGTGGTAACTTCGGTTCTAGGAGGTTCACATCCTCTTCTGACCTTCAAGAGTTCCTGCACTCACAGAAACTCAGGTAAGCACATACACATAGGCATACAAATAATAAGAAAATAAAAAAATAATAATTTTTAAGATATCACTCTAAGCCAGGTATCATGGCACACATCTTTAACCCAGCACAGGAGGAAGAGGGATCCCTGTGACTTCAAGGCCAGCCTGGTCTACACAGTAAATTCCAGATCAATCAGCATTAGTAGTGAGACCCCGTCTCAAAATAAAACAAAACCGCCGGGCGGTGGTGGCACACGCCTTTAATCCCAGCACTCGGGAGGCAGAGCCAAGCGGATCTCTGTGAGTTCGAGGCCAGCCTGGACTACCAAGTGAGTTCCAGGAAAGTCGCAAAGCTAAACAGAGAAACCTTGTCTCGAAAGACCAAAAAAAAAAAATAATAATAATAATAAAATAAAATAAAATAAAACAAAGCCTCTGAACTGGATGTGTTGACGCATGTCTATAAACCCAGCACTTGAGAGGTAGAGGCAAGTGGGATAAGCAGCTCAGGTTTATCCTTGGCCACATAGAGAACGCAAGGTCAGCCTGTACACCATGACACCCTGTCTTTTTCGTTTGTTTGTTTTGGTTTTTTCGGGACAGGGTTTATCTGTGTAACCCTGGTTCTTCTGGTCTCTCTTTGTAGACCAGGCTGGTCTCAAACTCAGATCCACCTGCCTCTGCCTCTCAAGGGCTGGAATTAAAGGCTTGGGCCACCACCAGCTGGCTGACAACCCATCTTAAAAATAAAAAATAATAATAATAATAAAAAAACGAACAGAAAAGATTACCTAAGACAAGAGCAGCACAGAAAGCTGTTAGGGACATCTGAAAAGAAGCAATGGTATGGATGAGGGGTGGGGTGAAGGTGGAGAGGAGAGGCTGGCTGTGTGCGGGTGGGCAGAGACACAAGTGAGGAGGAGTGGCTGGAGTGGGGCACATCCTGAAAGTAGAGCCAGTAAAACTAGCTGATCAGTTGGAATGTGGACAGGTAAAAATAGACATAAAGACCAGTCAAGAATAAGCCAAGTGACCAAATGTGAAAAATGGTGGCCGTGCCATTTACTGAGGCAAGAGTGACTGAAAGGGAGTCAGCTTTGGGGGTTGTGGTAAAAAATTCAGTTCTAAAGCTGGGCGAGGTGGGACACGCTTTTAATCCCAGCACTCAGGAGGCAGAGCTAGGCAGATCTGTGAGTTCTCAGCTAGCCTGGTCTACAGAGCGAGTTTTAAGACGGCCAGGCTGTTACAGAGAAACCCTTGGGACCGCAATAGCTGTTAGTTACTCAAGGCATGGACATTGCTGAGCAGACCACTGCATATGGGTCAGGGTCCTCCAGACACTCGAAACATTAAGTTTGAGCATCAGCAGGATGCAAGCAGTACTGGAAAATGAGGATTCAAGATAACCTGACTGTGGCTTATTCCTCTCTGTGCCCAACTCCAAGTTTCTTACGTCTCTAAAACGTTAAAAATTTGCGGATACACGCAGGCTAGTGGGTGAGATTTTGGCTCTGGTCAGACATTCAGAGGAAGCAGTAAGCTGCTAAATTTCACTAAGGTTTACTGAGAAGCAGTTTACAGCTCTGGGTAAAAACTGAGAGCTTCAGATCACATGGCTGGAATAGCTGGCCTTTAGGTATATCAAGACCTTCCCAGTACCATCAACTTGAAAATGCAAGATTTTTCCTAACAAAAGGAGAGATCTCTCCTGCTTTGGGAAGTAAGAGAATTCCAGTATATTAGAGAATATTACCAATATTGCTAAATGCTCTTAAAACTTTAGCCACAAAGCATGTTTTGACCCCTGAGAATTTTTCACACTGTTTTGTTTTGTTTGAGACAGGGTCTTATAGAATAGCCTTGGCTCGTCTTGTAGCCAAGGAACTATGTAGCCCAGCCTGGTTTCAAACTCATGGTGATCCTCCTGCTTCAGTCTCCCAAGGGTTGGGATTACAGACATGACACCTGGCCAACTTCTGGGACTCTTATTCTTAAAGATAGTTCAGCAAACACACTTGATCTCCACCAAGCCGTTATCAAACAACAGCTGACTATGAGAGAGGCCCCATATTCAAGGGAGGTCAGTAAGAGTGAGATCAACACTTATCTGGAAGAGAAATGAAAGAGGTGGGGGAACCTGCATAAAACTGTGAGACAAATAAAATATATTTTAATTACACACACGCCTCTAAAGCTTAAAAAGCATGATTTTCAAACCAATTAAAATTCATGGTTTTACAATAAAATATTTTATTATTACACATCACTAAATACCAAATTGGCGTTATACTCCAGGGTCTTGTGTTGGTAACTTGATA